CGAAACTTGCGAAAATTTTCGTCGAGTGCGTAAGAAACGGTCAATTGTCTATTTAGAATATTGCGATAGCAACGGATAGAAAAATTCAATATATTCCTTCTATCAACTAATGTATGTATATGTGTACAATTATACCTAACGCTTGCTCCTTTAACCCTCTCCCCCATTTGCCGCCCGAAAAAACCCTTAGCGCGAGTGACGCGCACTCGACGAGTCTCTTGCCCGAGATCCCTCTCTATCCTACGTTCTCGCTATCGTTCGCTTATCGTCCTATCTATCTAACATTTCTTGCGTCTTCCGATTCGACCGGTCCGATCTACTCGTCGATCGCGGTCGGACATTATCATCCTCGGCCTCTGCCAATGCTTAATCGAAACGCGAGTCAAAGAGGGCTGCGATGAGAACTTCTTTCTCATCTTCTCTGTCTCTCCCTCTCTCTCTCTCTCTCTCTTTCTCGCAGTCGTATTCTACCTTCCACATTTTGCTACCTTATTATTTTCTTTTTTACGCTTACGACGCGACTCCCGTCCACGTTGAACGCACGCGTCTTCGCATCTTCACGAGCCGAATAACGTGTCTTAGACAAAAGGACGGAGGGTCGTCGTTGAACGCAGCCGCTTTTCTCTCTCTCTCTCTCTCTCTTTTTCTTTCTTTTATTTTCTCTCGCATCACTTTTCCATCTATAAAACGCGTTTCCCCATGCGGTGTCCTAAACTCCGCCTAATCTCTACACGGCGAGACAAGATAGTATATACAAAAAGGAGTACCAAAAAAATAAATATATATGTATATATATAGATGTGGAAATTACTTCTTTTTGTCCCTTCCTCTCGTTAGATCCGTACGCAACGTATATCGTAATCCGTTGGTCGTATATAATCGTCTGTAGTGGTGTAATAGTACGTGTGTATCCATTGTTGCATTTCTGTACGTGAATGTGTGTGTGTGTGTGTGTGTGTGTTTATGTCCGCCTAAATTGCGTGTATATATATATGTTTCCGCACGCGACCAATGATATCGCTTGCTATCACCTATGCACGTGTCTGCGCACTGGTATGTGTAGAAAGACTGATACGCGTGTAGAAGAAGAGTATCGCGAGAGAGACTCGTCATGCGAGGTCAACTACGTCTTCCGACTGCTGCTGCTGCTATGCGGTTTTTTTGTCTTTTTTTTCATCTACGAAGCCGAACACACAACGTTGCATACAAATTCTGAGCACAACGCTTCCTAGTCCTCGACCTTTGCCTCTCCCTCCTTTCTTTCTCTCTCTCTCTCTCACACACACACACACACACACACACACACACACACACATTCTCACTCGTGCTCTCTTTCTATCTTTCTCTCGCGAGAAAAACCCTCATCGACGGAACGGCCCGGCCTATTGTCGGAAGTATTGTGAGACGCCTTTTTACACAACAAAAGGGTCGTTGAAAGGTGATCCGGTATTAGCTCTAAAGTCTGTTGCCTACTAATTAGTTATCAAAAGTATCCTAAAAATATCAAAGATATCGTAACCGGGCTTTTTTGTTTCTCGAGATCGATGCACTTTCGCGGATCCCGAAGCCGCGAACATGCGAAGAAACGGGTTGTTGCGCTCACACGAATTCGCGGCGGCGTCAGGGATCGGGCTCGTCGCGCACCGATTTCGCGATTCCTACGGCGATGAATCCGTACACGCCTCGGGAAGCTGTAATGTGTTTTCGTTAATGGGCAAAAAGTCGCGTCGAAAAATCGTTGATTAGACCTGCCGGAGTCTCCGTCTCCCTCTTAAAAAGGACGCGCGTTAGGAAGCGTCACGCTTCAAAAAAGATCACCGATCATCCGAGAAATTGCCATGTCAAGACTCTTTTTTTCTTCCACTTCAAAAGCTCCCCGGCTCGGGAATAGAAACCGCGAGTAGCGGAATGGTGCGCGCGTCTCGGTTGAGCTTTTTTCGCTTTCTCCCGGCCCGTATCTTCCTCTCCTTTGAACTAACGGCGTCATTGCGTTTGATTATATACACCGAGCGAAAAAGTTCGTTTGCTTGTTAGGGATTAAGAGAAAAACGTGCACATTCGGTCGCGCGATTAATACGTCACCGGCTATTTAATCGGTCGGTTAAAAGTGAATGGGTGGGGGGGAGGGGGGCGGGGTATCGGTATGTACAAGGAGCGACAACATGCGGCTCTAATACGAATCTAATTATAGTGTTTCGCGCGAAACGCGACCCCTCGGACGCGCACACACATACTTTCTCCCCCCAACATCTATCGGACGTATGAAGAGTAAGAGTTAGGTATGATCTCTAGAGAGATATATCGCTGTTTTTCAATTTTCCTTTTTTCTTCTCTCTCTCTCTCTCTCTCTCTCTCCTCTTTCTTTCTCTCTCCACCGCCTACGAATCGCGGCTGATCGCTACTTTGGTTTCGAGAACTGTACTTTCCGGCACGCGACACGCTCCCTCCTCTCGCCCGGTGTCGGGAGATCGCATGGTCTCCTCCGCCGCAGGAAAAGATCCGCGCGCGTTGCTCTACCGGAAAAAAAAAAAGAGGAACGTACGGGCTCAGACGTAGAATATTCGATACGTTCCATCTAGCACCACGGTCGTTTCTTTCTCGGCTCGGCCGTGTATCCTTCCTTTTGTCGGTGCACTTTGATAACTGAACTCAGCTCGACAAAACAATATCGAACATTCTCTCTCTCTGGACACCCGACTCTAAGGGTGTTCATATTTTTGTACATCATCGTTCCTTCTCATTGTCATAATCTCGAACAGATCTACCATCTTGTCGGTACGGAGAGTGACTGTTTATTGCACACGTGGTAATAATAGTAGTAGTAGTAATAAAGTCAGGGTGTAAAATTTATCCTACTCACTCTCGCGCACAAGAGCCGCGGCCTTCGTCCCTCTTTTTTCGCGACGCGAGCAGCGGCCACTCTCTCTCTCTCTCTCTCTCTCTGTGTGTTCTCTTCTCCCGCTCCTCCTCAGTTCTACTACTCTGCTCTCCGAGAGCGAAAGACGCGACATGAGAGAGGTTCGCCTCGCGCACTCTCCCTTCTTTTCCCGCGAAGGCTCGTAAGGTCGCTGCTCGCACCGGTTTGGAAAGTATTGGCAGAGAATCCGGTACGGCTGTAACATAGGCAGGCCTTTGGACAACCCGGAGCACATCCGTACGGTGCGCCACGCGGACGCACACGGCCGCTCACGTTCTCTTCACTTCTCTTCACTTCTCTTCCTCCTCTTCCTCCTCTTTCTCCTCTCTTTCGCTCGCGCGCGCGTGTGCGTCGAAAATTGAACTATCGGTTTCAACGGTCTTCGTTTACAATCCTTCTGCTGTCGTCTATGTGACACATTGGTTTCTGTGTTTCATTTTCCCAGACTCTCGATTTCACCCGGTTTTTATGTTTCTTCCTTGTTTATTTCGATATTTCCTTTCCCCCTCTCTCTCTCTCTCTCTCTCTCTTTTACTTTCTCTCACTTACTCTTTCATTCATTCACTCACTCTCTCATTCCTCACTATCACTCTCTTTCGCTCTCTCTCTCTCTCTCTGTCTCTCTCTCTCTCATTCCCTCCCTCTCACGCACTCGAATAAGTTAATTAGTAAAAAATCATTTCTTCTTAAGTGCCTCCCTACGAGCGCGGTCGCGTTATCCGCGCGAGAAAACGCATTACACAACGCACCTATGTAACATATTTTAATAAGTCCTTAATAACTAGAGATTATGTGTGTGTATGTTCTGTATGTGTGTGTTCTGTATGTTTGTGTGTGTGTGTTTGTATTTATGTGTGATACAGAGAATTACCTAATACACAGCGGTTTGAAGCGTGGCTTTTTTTTCATTATCGATTAACATCCAATGCGAAACGCGGTGCGCCTCTCGGTGCCGTCCCCTTCCAGTCACTCCCCTCCGAGGTTCTTGCCGACTTGCCCTTTGCCATCTCCGCGCGTCGTTTCCGACTCGTTGTTACCTCTCGCACCTCCACTGCACTCGTTTCCTCGCATTCTCGTTGTCCCTTTCGCTTGTCTCCCCCACTCCACTCCCCCTCTCTCGCTCCATTCGCTCATACTGGCAACATATTATCGCGTCGGATCAGGTACTCAGGCGTTTTTTACGATCGTCCGGCGCGCGGAGCTTTCGTCCGAATCTGCGCGAACGATGTTGAAGGACGCGCTTCAACAATCGTCGAGAAGCCGCTCGCGATCATCCAGGTCGCGCTTAGCGTAGCAAAAGATAGACGGACCGTCAAGAGTGGCGGACGCGAGAAGGGATGCCTACGATTTTTTCGGAGGATACGCCGGACTCGGAGGGGAAGCGACGAGGAAGCTCGCGTCGTCTGCGCGGCGCGGCCTCGAGACGGCGACGCGAGGAGGCCAAGCCGAGTCGCACAAATCGCGCCGGCGACTTCGTAAAACACTCGAGGAGGATCGGCCGGCTCGACGGCGGGGTGCGTGCGCGAGGGTGGCCCCCCTCCCCCTCTCTCTCGCTCCTCGAGAGACGCGGTAACTAAGATACTCGATCTCGGACAGAACCGGTGCATTTTACAGACAGCGCAGACAGATAGTATTATATGTACGAGTAATCGATATACTGAGAGAATCTGTGTCAGTTCTCTTCTGTCCTGGTCTCGGCGTGTGTGTTGTCTCTCTCTTTCTCTTCTTCCGGCGACGATGTCGGCTCGGCGCAGACCCGATCGCTCCCCTGCCGTGTCTCCCTCTTCCGTCGAGGAGCGCGCGAAACCGTCCTTTACACGTTGACAGAAAGCCGTCTCGACGATGACGATGATAAACCGTCCCGACACGGACGTTCGCATCAGCGAGTCGTTGCGGATGCGAGACCGTGGGGGCAGGGTCGTAGGTCGGAGCGACGCCGAGAGGCATCGGCTGGCAGGCAGCAGCGGCTGGCTTTTTCTTCGTCCAGTAACCGGTACAACTTGAAGTAGTAGCAGTGAAGTAGTAGTAGTAGTAGTAGTAGTAATTTGTAGTAGAATAGTAGTTGTGGTAGTAGTAGTAGTAGTAATAGTAGTAGTAGAGTAGTAATAATAGTGGTAATAGTAGAGTAGTGGTAGTAGTGACGATCGAGTGGTAGTAGTATTAATAGCGGTTTTGAGGCTGTGTTCTTGTTGTTGTAGGTAAGTAAGTAAGTAATAAGAGTGGGTGGTGGGGTGAGGATTTTGAGGGCACGTGAGGGGAAGGGGGAGGGTATTGGTATAGAGGTGGTAGTTAATTAGCTAGGGCTGCGAGATAATTAGGGACAACGCAGCTGGGGTTAACACCAGCGGAAAGGTACGGCCCGAGGCCGATCCGCGCCCTCCTTCACCAGTGGCTTGTGGAACTCCCGACCTGGCCGGGAGTGGATAGTCGCCCAGCAGTGTTCGCAATAGTACTGAAAGCAGAAAGTGTCGGGGTTAGACGGGCAGGACGAAGCGTCGGGAGTACATAAAATGAAATGCAAAGTGTCGCGAAGAGGTCGATCGAGAAGCTCGAAAATGCACAACTTCTTTCACCAACTCCGATTAACCTATAACCGACTGATTGATTCAACGGAATTGGCCATTGATCAATTCTCTCGACCATCGTGTCGCTCTTTGTCGCAATATTTTCGATGCAACGATCGCTAAATACTGACTCGGGGCATTGATCGAAAATTAAAGTTGAACTTTTTCGCGCGCGGCCTTTCTCCCGTTATTCGATAATAACGATGAGTCGCGAACATATACCTGTAGGCAGGTGACGTTGGCGCAGAAGAACGGTGCGAACTTGCCACCGCAACGCTGACCTTGACACTCGTCACACATCTGATCGTCCAGAACGTACGGTTTGACTTCGACCTGTTGGAAAGATCGCTCGTCAATCCCGAGAAAATGAGAATGAGAGAGGGAGAGAGAAAGAGAGACAGACTCTTTCGAATGCCTCGGAACAGGAGCGGAGTTAAGCCCGTTTAATTCCCTGAGTATCATTCCGCGTCTAAAATAGACCTCACAAATCACGGACTTGCTCCGCTTTTGTTCCGAATCCCTTACTTAGGGGAATTATTCGTTTAAGCTTCCGAAGCGTTTAAGCCTCTGTTTAAAAAGAAAAAGAAAGAAGAGAAAAGTCGGACGCGACGAACAAATGTGAATTCTTCTTCTTCTCCTTTCTCCGGACTCTTGTCCTCACCCTTTTATCAATGTCGCCATGCTGCAACTGTACGAATCGGGCTGAAATGGCAGCTATGTAGCTTTGCTGATTACTGAAGGCGACTCTTCCGGCTCCTTTGGGATACTTGAGTTCGGGATCTGTGTCGATACCGGCATAACAGACACCGCCGTAGAGCCGGTCCATGATCATGGCGAGCTCCACGGCCTTGAGCGGTCGAGGCACGCCGCCAACGAAGACAGTCTTACGCGGGTCCAGCGGCATGGATGCGTCCAACACAAAATCAGCGTCGCTAAGCCGCCATGGTCTAATCTGCACAGGCTTATCCTTGATCGTGGGCGAGCTTACGCACAAATAGAGCTTGTCTTCGTCCTGGATGCAGGCATCTATCAACTGCTGCACCGAGCCTTCGTCCTGAAAAATCGAGTATAAAATTTGGGTTAGTCTCGGATAAACGATATGTCGGGGCGAAGAATGAGAGAAAGAGAGAGAGAGAGGGAGAGAGAGAAAGAGGGAGAAAAGTATCAAAAACACGTAAACGATTTTCTTTCTCAATCCCCTTCGCTTCTAAAATGCGATCGTACCTGGAAAAGCAGAAACGCGTAACCCTTCGGCGGGAAGTAGGATTTGCTTTCTGCCTTGTGCGGCCAATCCACAACCAGGGGACCGAATCGGCGAAAACTGGCTGTGATTTCGTCTATCAGGGGAAAAGAGGAAATATTGTACAATATTTTTACGTTAATAAATTAAAAAATTATAAGAATTTATATTATAAGCGTGCGCTATAATAAATGAATAAATATATAATTGTGTATTTATATACGTAATTATGGTGTCATTCAACAATTATATCACTAAAATTAAATATTTCTATACCCCCTCCCCCCTTTCGTCACAATTTCACCACAAACCATTTAATATTATGTGACATGTGGAGCCCTCGTGCCAACGCATAGAATAAAAAAATAGCTTATAATATCGTTAGTAGTACTATATTGTAGGTAATATTTATTAGATTGCACGCCACCGTCTTTTTCTAAAATACAAATAATTTCTAGGCAAAGGAGAGATTAGGGACAAAAGTAAAGTAGTGTAAGTAATACTTGCGTCAATACAAATCCAATCAGATCATGAATAAAAATCTTCTAAGAAAATTATAAGATTCTTGTTTACATCTTATTCTTGATTTAAAATAAATTTTTTTTTCTGTGTACAAATAAAACGTTGTTTTCAAAACGAATTTGATAAATTGGCTCCTCTTATAATATATAATTACTTGGAATCACAAAAGAGCCTACACTTCATTTTTCTTACTGCAGCCACGTATTAGTTTTATTTTAATAAACTCGACTTGCCAATAATAAAATAATAAGCATACCTTCGTCGATGTCAGGTGGCAGCCCGCCGACGAAGACTTTCCTGGAGAAACGTTCGCCAGTTTCGCTACCCTGGCTGTGTGGGCTGCTCCGACTCGGTGATGAGAGCGGCGCCGCTTGGGACGCGGTTATGCCGCCACCCACGCCGACGCCGACTCCGACGCCGACGCCGACACCGTCCAGCTGGCTCGGCGCATTCGGGTCTTCCAGCAAGGTAGCGTTAGGTTCCTCGAGACCCGGGAAGAACGGAGATTTACCTGCGAGCACACAAACACATTGTTCCACGTGAGCGATTCGATTCTCCGAATCGCGGGAGCAACGCTCGAGCACGCTGAATTTAACGGTGGACGTACCCGGGCTTACGAGACGACGGGGAATTAAGACACGGAGGGAGTCGGAATAGCGTGTAAAAATAACGGCCACCGATAAACGAGGCCTTTACGACGAGGTAAGCCTGCGTTCCGCGTTTTTCGTGACGATCGTGAGTGTGAGTCACGCGCGCGCGATCGCGCAAGATCGCTGTAAATTGTCCGCGGGAAATCAAGGTCCCGGTGTCTGACATTCGTACGCTTCTGGGTAGTTCATTATGCAATTGTGCGGAATCACGTAATAAGCGCGGCGGACAGGATGCGGGAAGAGAGGGCAGAGGGGATACAATCGCGTATTATGTGTAGTACGCAGCGCGACGTGCTGCGTGTACACGTGTGCACATAATATAACCGACGTAATCGCTTTTTTGACGTCTCTTTTTCCGCACTTTTTTTTCTTTTTCGTGAAACCGGAAGTTCGACGTTGCACACTTGAAACACAATCTCGTAAAAGCCTAATGTCCTTTACGTAACGTTCCTGGCACAGTCTCTCGAGTTTCTCTTTCTCTCTCTCTCTCATCAGCAGGCGACTCCTTTGAGACACGTGTCGACGAATCGCTTTCGAAAAAGCTCCGAGAAAGCTGGTCAGAATCGCATACTGAGAAAAAATACACAATGTCTTCGACTACTCGAGAGAGATCAGATCGATAATTAACCTTCCCGTTCTCTCTTCTTGGAGAAAATAACCTTCTTTCCTCACTGTTGTTAATCGCAAAGTCGCGTGGATCGGGTCAATAAGCGAGCGAACGCGCGGATCGTCGCGCTCGACTCCTCGAGGACGATCGGACGTGCGGACGTGCGATAAAAGTCGATCACCGTCGGACGGCCGGGAATAAGCGCAGGAAGGGGAGGACTCACTGTATCTTCTTCTGATGGGAAACCTCGCCCTTCTGATAAACGTTGCCATGCTCGCGACGACGACGACGAGAAGACTACGACGACGACGACGGAGATACAGCGGCGCGTCGGGATCAAGATACGAGAACGATAAGGCGGGACTCGTGGGTTACGCTATCTCGTCCGTGTTGGACGCCGTTTGTTTTCTCGCTGTCGTTAAGGAAAGGAAAAAAAAAAAGGAGGAACGACGGTAAACAGAGAACAACGCGCATGAATGACTTCGATACGCGGACGGATAGGCAGACCGGGCTTGCGGGCATACCAGACTTGCGGGGCAGACGGCGAAACCGGCGAAACAAGCGAGCACGAGCCCGCTGTTGTTCTCGGTGTCACCACGATGCTCACCTTCTTTCATTTCCGCGCGTATGTAGTAATAATGTACGCGGCGAGAGCGCAGCATATGCGAAGGGGAGTCCCTCTTTCGAGGCTTTCCTCTCCGCGTGTCCTTTCGAGGATCCCCCCGGTGCGATTAATTTTCCCGGGTTAATTCCGCGGTTAAGCCCCTCCCCGGTTTTTCCGCGAACCCATTGCGTGTGCTCTCTCGCGAGCTGAGAATCGTGGAGGTACGTACTCTTGGATAAATGAGAGAGACTCGTCGATACGTATGTACACAGTGTGTGTGCATACGGGAGAAGGGAGAGGAGAGGAAAACGTCTTCCTCTCGTGCACACGCACGTCTTGGCGTGGATCGAACAGACGGAGGAAAATTGCTGGACCGTTTCCGTGAATATCAGTCGACGTTAATTGAGCGATGTTTACGGGAGTAATAGAGAGAAAACCCGTCACGAAGGAGTCTGTGAACGCGCAACGGTGCAGCGATAATCCTCCGCCGCCGCCGTGGATTTCTTTTCCCGTTTAACGTTCGACGTACGAAATTATCGTCGCGAAATCGCGCGGGTACGCACGACTTTCGTATGCGAGAGACGCGCCGGGAGACGGAGCGGCACGGGAATTACGTAAGGAGCGAGTTGATACAGGTAGTACGCAGGCGTGTGCAACTACACCCATAACATCAGGTGCGTGGCGCTTTAAGCCTCCTCACTACTGCTCGCCGTGGTGTGACTGTCCTTGTTCAATGACGTCAGAAGCGAGGAAACGCATGCCAAGGTTTTTCGCGTTACATTTTCGAAATAAAGAGATGTATCCGCAAAATACAACGCGTGCGATCGTTTCGGCACACTTTTACAAAGTGTGTTTTGTCCGGACACTTTTATTCGAACAATCGATGGGTAGTAAAATTCATTTGACCTAGGACCCTCTTTTCTTGCGATTTTGTCAGTGTTAATTTCACGACTATTTATATAAAAGGGTAAGTTTTTCGGACAATTTTACAAGTGTAAACTGGCACGCGTTTCCTCGCTTCTGACGTCATTATTAAACAAGGATGATCATAGCGAGTAGTCGGAAGCCTTAAACGCGATGCACGCCGGCCCCGCCAGACGTGTCCTGAACATACTTCGCTGGTTCCCTTTGGGGCGAATTAATTGCATCGTGGCGAACGCACGGGCCGGTTCTCTCTCCCGAACGTGAAGATTACGGTGTCTGCCCGACGATTTCGCGAGAAACGTTAGCTCCTTTAGCTTGAAACCGCAGGAAATTTCTTCGAATTCATCCGGAGAAGATTGAGAGGTATCGAAGGAAACGTTCGGAACACTTCTTGCCAAATGCACGGGAAAAGCAACTCCGTTAGTGTGACTGAATTTTCCGGTGGTATCTGGTTTTTAGCTCTCGCAGCTAAAAATTAGATCTGGTAACTAAATTTCAGTTGCATTATATGGACTGCTGATTTCTACTTTCAGATATAGTACAGCCGTCTGAATAGGTGCAAACTATCGTTAAGGGCGTCAGAGTGGCATTAAAATTCCGACTCGGGCAACTGCCTCAATAGAGTTGTAACGCGATTGAATGTTCTCAGCCGCGGTAACGGGGATATCATTTCTCGTCGCCGAGAGGTTTTCACCCGGTCCCCGTTCAGTTGCAAAAACTGAGACGTTTTTCCCTGTGTGTGAGGCATCGAGATCGCTTCTGTCGCGCGAGACTCGCAACGGTACTGTCTCATGCGTGTCGGGTTTGCGTTGAGAGTACGAAGGGATTACGGTAAACTAATAATTCCGCATCCACCACAATACCACCGTCTCGTCGCTAATCCTTGTGTGAACGATACTTTATACCACGCGCCGTCGTGTCCGTATGCGGTACCTTCGCCGTGATTCTCTTCACATACATTAGCATAAATACTGCGGAGCGCGGGCGAGCGTCTATAATTCACCGGCGAATCGATAACACGTAAACGAACTGTAGAATGTGTGAGGATGAGTTAATGCACTCCGAAATATCTCCCGGCGATTCCACGTCGTGGCGGCATCGTCGTTCCGTCCGCCTGTACGCTGTAACGTCGGCGATTAATCCGCGTATTCCGTATTATATACCGTTACGTCCCGAGTTGAAATTTCCGCCCTAACTTTGAGTCTAATTCAGTCCCAAGTTGTGTGGGGGATTTTCAATCACCACCCGAATCGAAATTTTGAATCTGCTGAAAAAGTCTCGTAAATGCTAACTTGCAGTCTTAAAATCGCCAACCGGCGTCGTCCTTTGAGCTCTCTTTAGCCTTATAGAGCCTTACACCGAAACCGGAGTTAACCCGAGTCGAAATCTCAGTTCTACGTCGAGTCTATTTAGTTCTACATTAAGTCTTCAAGGGTCTTTTTCTATCGTGTTCTCTTTGATGTTACGAATGGGAAGTTATTTCCGTTTCCTCCACTTGAAGAGTAACTTAACGTAGAATGAAAAATTTCGACTCGGGGATTGTTCCTGCCCGTTCCTTCGCGTTTCTCTCCTTTGCTCTCGGTGCGCTCTAATCGCAGTCTGATGTCCCTCGGTGATTCCGCCGACTTCGCACGTCCGTCCGCGAAAGTGACCGTGAGCGCGATTTCGTGCGCGCAAGCAACGGGACGCGCAAGTAAGTTTCGACGCATTTCGAAATCGCGCGCGCATCGACCTCGCGATTTCGCCGCGTAAGAAAACTTCATTCAGACCATGATATGTGGGTCAGCTGTTTGCTCCGGTGCTTCGGCGGCAGTTTCAAGAGTGAGACCCGTGGCGAAATCAACGAAGCAACGGCGCAAAAATGTAACGCGAACCGGCCGTTCGCGAGTAGCCAAACCGATGTTATCGTCGGGGGCGACACGCTGTACATTTCGGTATCTGCATCATCTTGATCTTATCTCAGATACCTACGGTATCTCTTATCGACTTTTTCGAAAGAACTTTTTCATATAACTTTGTATATTATTCGTATAATCGGCTCACGATCTGCCGCTGTGACCACTTTCACATTTCGTCGTAACGCAAAATCGAGAATCGCCGAAACTCGAGGGAGTCCCGGCATTCGTTTTCGATGCGCGCGATGTCCCATCTTGGTCGTTTACGGAATAAAAATCGTCAATTCGTACGTGAACGAATTAACCCATTTCGTTCGCTAAAAGTTCAAGTCGTCGGAAATGACGATTCCCGTTGATATGATTCACCAGGTGTGCGCCAGGTGTCACTCAATATAGGCGTTCCGACAATTTTCTGAGGAAAATCTGCCGATCGGAGAATTCTGATTTTAAGTTTCTTGAGTTTCAACTACCCTAAAACAGCACTTTAGATCTCAAGGATTCCAATATTTTTGCAGCCCGGTCCGAGATGGATTAATTTCCTCTCGTCTGCGGCTCGACTTCGCGGCGTTCGCTCACTGGGCCGATCATCATCATCATCGTCGTCTGGAGATTTTCTCCTGCACGCTCTGATTCAAGAAAACCGCGGCGCTTGGCGCGTCCCGTCAGTTTACAAATTAGTCGGAAGTCCATCGTTAGCTACCTGGAGGAGATCTGAAAGCCATCGATCGCGACTCGCCGGGGCTCTCCGCTGGCCTCTCCTCTAGACACGCGTCCCACTACCGGGATCAATGACTTTCTCATCTCTCGCGTTACTGTCGTGTGCGCGTAAGT